CTTTGATGCCTATGCTGTGGAAAATACTTGTTCTGTTAACTTTGATGCAGTCATTAATGTGTTTCTTGAACAGATATTCCTCAGGTTTCTATACTCAAATTCATACACTGAACCCAGATATTCTCAGCCTGTTCGATCTCCTCAGTTTAACCCTCAAACAGGGTCAGGACAAAGTGTCATAAAATTTATAGTTCAATAAAAATAGGCAGAGTTCTTCAGTACCCAAACGTCTGCTACTGAGTCGCACCTTGGCTGAATTGCCCTTTTCATTTTCTCAGAACCAGGGTCTTTTGGGTTTTTTGTGATAAAGTATGAAAGTCCATTCAAAACTGAACATTCTTGAAGTTGCAGAAGGATGGGAATAATACAAACCCAATCCAAATAAAGTCAGACAATCTTACAGGCTTGAAAAAAAATAAACCTATAAAACTTGTTTCAACTACAAAAAGAGACAGCTTGCCAGCTTTGGCAAAGCTTTGTGTATTTACCAGTGAGAATCTTGGCCAGCAAGTACTGATGTACCAGCGTCTCTAAGGGAAATATTTTGTTCTTATTTAGAACACACAACTTAGTGATACTGTGATACAAATACCAGTGAATGTTATTTTGTGCAAATATTAGAAGGAGTAGACTGAGAAAGAGAAAATAGTTACAAATTACTAACATGAGGTTGTCTCCATTCTTTAAGCACTTTCCTTAGGCCAATTTGCAAGCACTCTCTTAAAAAAACAAATGGCTTCCTCAGCCAAATGTAGATTCCAGGAATCACTGTCTGCTGTAGTTTTATGCTATAACACATTCATGCTGCTACTACGCAATACTGAACTAAATGTACCACTTGAACAGGGAAAGGATGGAAACAAAAAGAAAGATACACCTCAAATACAAAATATAATACTCAAAGTAAAATTATAACCAAAATAAAAATTTTATTCACCCCAATAAGGGTTAATCAGTCAACCATAAGTGGAAGTATAGAAACAGTGCTTACCGTGAGCAGTCCTGTGCATTTCTGAACAACAGGACAAGTATAACTGAGACCATCTTTGAAGCATACTCAACTGTTGACCATAGTCTCATCACAGTGATGTTTAAAATATGTATGAAAGCAAGTCTAGCTCTTCCAGGTAATAATTCAAATACATGCCAATCAGACATAAAAAGACATCTGACAATAAATTACACCATAATTGCTATGTGATATGCCTACATTTTAGGTAAAAAGCAAATAGAGCCAGCATACATTACTTCTAAGGCCTTTGAGACATATTCAGCTATTCCATGGCAAGAAAGTGCTCCCCACATACAGCCCTTACCCATGAAAAGTAGGACTGAAGAAGGTGTTATTATGCTGGGTTAGCCAAGGTAGTTGCCATTATTCAAGTATAGACAACAGTAAAAATTACGAAGGAAATCTAAAATACTTCAATACAAACGGAAAACAGCATTTCATCACAATCTCATTTAATAGAACACATTATCAATATTAGTTGATAGTAGAGCAAATTGTTTCAAATTGGAAAGCCACCTAAATTCTTGCTCTTAAATTAACTAAATTATAACCGCATTTATGTCTGTTAGAATAGCGCCAGATTTTTTCAATCTTCTGTTGCAAGCTAAAAGGTAACAATGTCAGAATCTCATGATACACCCCTTTTACTACTTTACTAGAAATTAAGTAATGACACGGAGTTAAAATATTTTCATTCCTTAACCTAGAACAAAAATATAAGAAAAAAACCAAAATCTATTGATCTTTCATAGTTAATATCAAAATGGCATTTGAAGTGCATTGTTTTAATGGTTACATGCAAATCTAAGAGATATGGGAAATGTTCTTTCAATAAGCTTGTGCATATCACCATAACCATAAAGAAATAATTTTTTAAATAGTTTTGTTTACTAGTGTGAAAGCAGGATGTTTTTGTGAATGTCAGTGATAACATTTCTGCCTCTTAAGTCTCAAATTATGTCACATGAGATGGAATTTATCTGTCTTAATGTTTAATAGAAAAGTCTAAATTTGTGCCAGTCACCTTAGGTTGCTTTTATTGCGAGTGACAAGAAACAGGCATCTCTAAAGCAGGAATTGTCTCATCTAAAGACAGAAATAAAAAGAGGCTATGTGAATCCTCCCCTGGAAGTCTCCATCTCTCTTGACTGACTAAAGAAACCTATGGTGACCAGCTCAGATTTATACCACCTATAGTTTTAGATGGCTAACACCACGGGAAATTAATCCCATTCTTGACACCCTTCTCAAATAGCATTTGGGAAAAGTAAGCATAAAATGCAGAAAACCAGAATTACCAACAAGTGTAAGAATCAAAATACACTGTCCCAGAAAAAAATTAAAAAAAAAAAAAAAACAAGACCCTTTTGTGAAAATAGCAGGGGATCTGTAAATTTGAAATGTCATACAGCGTTTGATCTCCAAGCCAGGACAGACTCAGTCATTTCTAGAAGATTAAGAATATACAGGGAATATTTTCAGAATATGCTGACAAAGTAATATGTCTCTTCTGTACACGAGTAAGCAGCAATTTTCAAAAGCTTATAATTCAGTGCAATAAGGACAGACATTCAGAGGCATGGCAAAAGACACATAACCCATTAAAGCTTCCCTTTCAAATTCCAAGTCCTGGCTCAAAAGCAAAGAAGAGGTCATAGGCTTTTGTTTTAGACCTTTTTTTTTTCATTTTCAGGAATGATATACCCATCTCACAGTAACTTTTGCAAAGCCACTCAGGCTATAGCAAAACCGTAGGCAGAAAATGTCTGACAAATTAATCAAAGTTAAAATTCAAGAAAGCTGACATTTGAAGAGAGAGTCTCCCTTGCTCCTAAGTATTTCAAAACACAAGGAAGCCCCTCAGTCACACATTCACAGGAGATAGGCTTTGTTGTGAAGTCACACTGTACATTTGGCCAGTTTTATATGTTTACATTGGCATCCTCTCTAACTATGGACTGTCTCAGAATCCCAGAATGGTCATTTGCAAGTAACTGAAAACAGAACTTTTAATGAAATCTTTGGTCACTTTATAGGTCTCATTGATCTCTAAAAAAACTTTAGGAACACAGCTACTTCACCTGGAAGAGTTTCATCTTTTTTTTCTTTTTTTTGCTGAGCACAAAATTATACTAAAAATACATCTTTCTTGCTATGGATCAAGTGAAAAAGACACTATTTTTAAACATCTAAAATCCCCATAATATGACTGTTCACATCACGTGAAACCTGGTACTAATTCAAAGCTAAAAGATAATTTCACAGACTTCAATGTGATTTTCATAGTTACAATCACAAGTCTTTAAATATAATTTAGCACATTTTAGAAAGCTTGCAAATTCTGCCATGTCTCATTTTTGCCAAAGCTTAAGTAAAATACTAAACTGAATAACTAAATACTTCAAAATAGAAAAATTTAAACCAAAAATTATTGTCATAAAATAAAATAGCAGAATGTTTCTGATTTTGCTTACCTATAAATATCCCCAAAATCATAGACTAGCTAAGATTAGAAGAGACCTCAGAAGCTCATTGAATCTAAACCTGATCAAGGAGGGTCAGATGCAGCAGGCTCCTTGTCCATTTGAGTTTTGAGTATCTCCATGGATGGGGATTCTACAATTTCTTTGGGCAAGCCTCTCCAGTGTTTGACCATCCTCAAGGAAGTTTTTCATACTATGTTTCAATGGAAACATAATTTAATAATCTGTATGCAGCTTGTACCCACTGCCTGTCATCCTGTCACCAGGTGTCAATGAAAGAAGTCTAGCTCTCATCCAGTGTTTACTGTGAGAATGAAATGTTACTTAGTATTTCACTGTTCATGAGACAGGGATTTTGTGCCTAAATTAGCCCAACCACTAACCATTTGATATCACCCAACCCACACGTCATGTTTGGCACTATACAAAATTAGGCTAGCATCTTCAGAATTGAGAAATTATATATTTATATACGAATTATACGGTATCATGCCTGCACTATAAATCACGACATGACACCCGCTTACTTGATAGCCACTTATGACTATTTACTGGTTTTGGAGACCTAAATTTTAATTTAAAGGGACACAAAAGACAGCACTATCACAGTATGAAGTGCACAACAAAACAATAGGTCCCCATTAGGTAATAAGAAAGGGCCTCACATATTTTTTTAACTCTTATAAATGGCAAAGCACTAAAAATATCTATAAGGTCTGAGACTATTTCTCACCAAGGAATTTAAGCAGCAGAAACTAGCACAGCTGCCATCATGTGCTCCTGCACACTTTTGGCTGCTAATTCCCACTCACATCACCCTTTGTACCAGTGACAGCCCTTGGACTGCCATATGGGAGAAGGCTGGGATAAACCCAAATGAAAACAAAACCAAACAAATACATGGCTATTTTCAGTCTGATCCATTCTCCAAATTTATGAACAGCTACACGTGCTGAGTGAGGGAGAATGACAATAAGGGGAGGAGAAAAGAAGCTGGCACTGCATCTTACACAGATGTGCCAGGTTAAAGTGTTCATTGAACATTTAGGCTAAAGCTAAGCAGTCAACACAAGCTATTCAGCGAGTAATACTGCATTCCTTAGGCACTGCTTTCAGAATGAGATGGATTGGCCTCTGGAGATGCCTGCTCCTCTCCTAAGGGTAAGCAGAATCTAGAAGGACTGAGATACAGCTGCCTAGTTTCTGTATATCTAAATTAACCAGTATCTAGATGAGTAGAAAATGGTAGAAAAATAGGTTTTTGATTCTTACAGCACTTCATTCCCATTGACAATTGCCATTTGGAAAAAGTAATTGCAGCATAGCTTACCACCACACTAACATCAAAAGGGTATGTATTTTCTGCATGGTCAGCAATTTCTTTTCCTAAACCATATTTTACATACATAAGCAATACATTTCACTGTTAGGGTACTGTACTATTCCCACAGGGCATATAAATCCACAGTAGAAACATAGCCACAGTTCAGTTATAAATCACTTACATTTCTTCAGAGTCACTTTGTCACTTTGCTGTGCTGTGGGAAGGTCTTTTCCTTTTTGCTCAAACTGGTCCTCCTTCCAAAAGTGTGTGTCACATCTATGGCAGATAAGGACAAAAGGTCCTTAACTTTCACTTGAAGTTATCTAGGGTAAAAAGGGAAAGGAACACAGTAAGTGCAAGCTTCTATATTGTGTTTTATTGCAAGGTATTACAATCGTTTTTTTAAAACACACTTCAGTGTCATCCTTACGCATATGTATTGCACACCAAGGAAAAAATCTCACACGCTTCACATCTTTCTTTCTTTGTATGAGACATGAAGTAGTCACTGCTCCTAGACCAGTCACCTGCCTCACTTCTGGGATTCATAATAACAAGATTGCATTTCTTTGAAAAAGCAAGTATACAAGTTAAAAGATGATTTCACATTATTGATTACTTATTTTGTACCACAAAGACACTGTGAATACTTCTGGCTGAGATCAAGCAGGAAATCAAAATTTGTTGAGCACAGATTCACTATAAACCATCCTGCCTAGCCAGTATTGATAAAAATTTTAATCTGAATCTTCTGTTAAGCAAAACAGCTCTCTATTGCACTATATGTTACTGCTCAGAAAGTGAGACCTGGGGTTTACAACAGCTAGGTCTCATTAAAATTTCTTCATGAAAACTTAAAACTCATCACTCCATCAGAGTCAAATCTATAAATTAAATGTTTAAAAGTATTTAGAAAGTAATAAAGGACAAAATGTAACATGTCATTTGCCACTGTATTAATCCCTATCTTGAAAAGTCTCTCTTGTCCAGCATAGAACACAAAACAACAGAACTAATTAGCAAAGGTTCAGAAAAGAAAACATACATGAACAAAGGTTTAAAACAGTTTCAATATATGAAGAAGAATTCAGTATGCCACCAATATCCAGACTGGAAAAAAAGCTGACTTAAGGAAGGGCATGATAGAAAACAACAAATGTCTGAAGAAGATGGAAAGACTGCACAGACATTGTATGTTCCCTATCCTTTGAACTCAAGAACTACCTAATAAAAGCCAAGTTCAAAAGAAATTCTCCACAAATTGTGTGACAGAACTGTGAACTTCTTCCCAAGGATGCTGTTTGTGCAAGGTTTTGTATGTCACGAGGAAGATGGAGGTATCTTCAGAAACTAGTCACCACTGGAGATAGATGACAGCCTAAGTGAACCATTGGTCTGAACCAGGATGACCAGTCCTATCTCCTTGTATATTCACTTATCTTAGTGCTAATTCAACAAATTTTATATCCATTTTACACTGATCTATTTACCACTCACAGTAATGAGAATTGCTGCATTAGGTACACAGGGAGTCTAGTCTTAGGTGCATTTGATGTACAGGCTAGATCCTTTTGAACACCAAAGAGAAATCCCATGGTTCTCTATACTTTACTATATGCTTAATAAATTTGATTGATTTTTCGAAAATACCATCACCCATGAACAAAAAATAAAATCAAATGAGGTAGCAAAGTCTTACTCTCCCCAGTCCACAGTCCCAAAGCAGCCAGGGCAGAGGGCTACAAAGCAAGGTTCTGCTTCTCAAGTTGTTCACTGGTCTCATGGGCTTGAGTCTAACTTCATCCATATGTTCCCACTCAGTTCAACACATATAAATGCAGGTCAGCATCTCCATTTCCCAAGTTTCAACTCAAAGTAAACCTCAAAAATCATATACTCTGTATTCCAATATCTTCTCTTTTGCTTTAATCTCTAGGATACAGCAGTGTTTCTGATTTATTTTGGGTAAGTGCAGATCAATTAAAATTCCTTCAGGGAAGCCTTCTGAACCAGCAGAAAGTGAATGACTGTCATCAGGAACAAACACTTCTTGCTGTCATGGACTGGCATGTCACACTTTTGAGCAAAAACTATGTTAATTAATTCTATCCATACCTACCAGGTGTACCAAAGGAATATAACCAGTCCTTTCTGCTCTCTTACTAGATACAGATCTTTGTGTCTGTGAGCCAAGTATCCCTATATGTAGAGCTGTGCATTGGCACTTTATATGAAGAAGCAGCCTGTACTAACACAAAAAAACAGCAGGACAGAAATAACTCTGTTCAGACATCAGTATGCAACCAAAATCCCTTTTGCAAGATGCATGAATTAATACCTTCAAATATCACTCAAAAAACAGTCCTTTTCCAGTATATCTGTATACATACTCTTTTTAGATCCTACAGTGAGGAATTTGTATAACTGACACTTTTTTTGGTCAGTTTCAAATATTGGATCAAAGTATGTTTACTGTTCAATCTATTCCCCCCTCTGAAAAAGAAGAGCCTGCTACAATGTTTGCTGTTCTATTTGCTTCTGCAGCTTAAATGGCTTCACTGAGGATGAAAGGAAATTCACCACACGGCATGCTGATGATCTAAGACTCATATACCACTGACCTATAGCAACATTTTAGGCTACCTCTCCCTTCTATTATTTGTCCAGCTTTTCTGTTTAGAATGTTAAGGGTAGGAATATAACCAGACAGCCCAAAAGGTATTCAAGGTCTATTTGATATCCTTCACTTCAATAATAACTATAAATAAGAGCAAGCTGTACCAAACAAGAACCAAATGTTTTATCACCGATACATGAGCAAAGACAAGCTTCTTGAAAAATGGCAAAATTTAGAGACATGGGTTTCAGGTATGCTAACAGAAGGTAAAATACTATTGCAGGATAAACCTACTGAAAACAATTTGATAGTAGCAATAACAATTCAGAATTATCATCACCACTACTTAAACACCGAGAAAAAAAACACATGAGAACAGGTGGTTACCTACTGGTTGTCAAATAAAAGCATTGATTTTTCCTCTTTTCACATGTAAGTTCAAGTTACCATCAACGAGTTTACAAAACCTTCCCATGAATGTCATATTGACTGTCTCAAACAAATGCACATAAAGGGGGGGGGGGAAGTTGATATGCAATTATATCACTTGCAAGCATTAGAAATCAACAGGAACCCCAAAAAATAATGTAACCTAAGAATTCTTTATTTTCAACCATTTGTTATATCTTTTCATTTGAAGGTTAAATAAGCATTCATGCCTGGTTCAAAAATTTATTCCATATATTCCTTAATTCAATTATACCTGGTAGAAATCCACTTATATCAAAGATACATTAAGAAATTTTTACATGAAGAATTTCTTAGATTATGTGTTTTATTATTTCTGAAACAGCACAGTGATACAAGTAATCTGCAATTTTAAAGACACAAATATATTTCAGAGTACACACATGTTAATTTGGGATATTAAAACTATACTTGTGTGCAAGTTCACACCGTTCCCATAAATTACCTGAGACACAAAGTAAAAGCTATACATCATAACATGATCTAATTAGCATAACAGTTACGGGACTTTTTTGGCAATTCATAAATACACAGCTGCATTACAAAGCCATCCCAAATAAGAGCTGATAAAATACTTTATGTCTCAACTATTGCACATTCTTAGAGTTTGCTGAAAAAAATGCATAAGAGAAAAAAGTATTTGAGGACTATACAGGGAAGTTGCTTCATTCTTTTAGGATTAATATGATACAAAATTCCATTTTTGTAGACAAGCATCCAATTAATTTTACTTGCAATACCTATAGCCTATTCGGTGTAAGTAAGTAAGAAAACTAGAGTAGAATGTGGCCTGATATCATAGTATAGAAAATCAAGGACTGGATTGGAGTTTTGATTTTGGTTTGGTTTAAGATTGAACAATATTTACTCTCATTTCTAATTGTATATATAGACCGCCTAATGCAGTACTACAATCCTGTGTCTTTAGAAATGTGTTTATCTAAAAGCCTTTATCCAGAAATCTTATCTCAAAAAACATAAGCTCACAAAAATAATTACTGCTTTGCTAATAAATGCCAAAAAATATTGTTAAGAAAGATGTATTAAAACAGTGGCAAAAGATATAAATATATCTGTACTGAAGTCTCTCCCAGCTGATCTGTAGTATCATTGTCCTAATCTAGAAATAAGACAATGAGTAAACAAGAGATCAACCATGATGTAAATAATTAAAGCAATAAAGGTGTTATACTCCAAACTTCTCTAAATATTGTGCTAATAAACTGAATTAAGCTGTTTGGTTTGTCTGCAATTTAAGAAACCTCATTTTGCTATGATCAAAAAAAACCCCAACGCTTCAGAAAACATCGAGGTGGTAGTACTTCTCCTACATAATAAAAAAAAAAGAAAGGTGGGACAAATTATCTGTCTACAGGAAAAAGGGTCTTTCTACTATGGATCAGTACCATGAAGATAATAAAAAATCTTTCTTATGTTTTTATAGAGAACTCCTGCAGGATCTGAAAAGACATGTTAAAATTTGCAGTATTTTAAAATCTATTCCTCTCATCAGTTGTATACCAAATTTTTCAATCTTCTGGATTTCGATTATCATAAAGGAAAATCATTAGGGAAATATTCCTCATTTCTCTTGCAGATGTAGTCAATACTTATTTAAAATACATTGACCAGAAATACAACTTTAAACTGAATTGCAAAAGTATAAAATGGCATGAAAACAAAAGAATTATGTTTAAATAATTCCGTCCATGGCTACCTGTCTACCATCTCGAAGGAAATTCTATATACGAGATGGATGAGAGAAGACACAGGCTGAGTAGCTCTACCAGGCAATCCACCAACCAAGATATAATGCTGGATTTGGGACAAACACATAATACTAGGTAAACTAGTGTTAAACTATAATCCAAACTTGGGAAGGTTCAACAGATAGTGGTAAATTTATACAGTACTTCTTGTGGCAAATATGTCTGGGAATATTTTACTTCAGTCATCACCAGTGAGAAAAGTGCCACCTCCTTTCCCCCATATTCCTTCCAGCTCTATATGCCCTTCTCTTTCTAACATTAAGCTGTCATTCAGCACAGGGACATGAAGCAGGAGCTGAGGAAATAAATGTTGAGCAGTTCAGAATGATTCCAGACAAGGAGCATCACACACAATTCAGCTCATCGGGGTTATGCAATCGACACCAACACCAATGTGATGGTAACAGGAATTCAAGTTTGGTTTTTAATCCACCTCATTGCTAACTAGTTTGGATCCCTATCATTTGAG